GTTATATATAAGTAGCTATATTACATTCTAAATGTTTAACTCTTGGTCTGCAAAGTGTAAATTATTTACTATCTTGCCCTTTACAAAAAAGTTGACGGATTCCTGAGCTGGACTGTTCAACAAACAAGAGAGTAGCTGGGATTATAGGAGCCCACCACCACGCCCAGCTAATTTTTGCATTTTTAGTAGATACAGGATTTTACCATGTTGGCCTGGTTGGTCTAGAACTCTTGACGAGTTCAGGTGATCCACCTGCCTTGGCCTCCTAAAGTGCTGGGATTACACCGTGCCTGACCCCAACTCCTTTTATGAAGCCACTATTACCCCCAAATCAAAGCCAGGTTTCCAGCTCCACCAGAAGAAATTTGAAAATGGTGTCTTTCTCTCTGAATCGGCTAGAAAAAATGGGTGGAAAACGTGAATTTCATAACCAGAAGCAGGAGACACCAAAATGAATGGGAACTCCTTACTGTTCCTGATGGTTGGAAGGAACCACCTCTTTCCAAAGAGGACAATCCCAGAGGACTCTTGAAGGAAAGCAATTATGCAACTTTGTTCCCAAAACAGAGAGGCTTGAAAGAGTGCTGGTCATTGATACAGAAAGCCTTGAATGAACATCAATATTAGCGGACTGTGCACCAGATCCAGGGCAGCATGACTATTTGTACTGAGGCAAAATAATTAGGTCTGGGAGCAGGGAACCTGAGGCCAATTAACGCCAACTTCCTAAAGCTGAACCAAAAGGGAAAACTCCATCTCCCCAAGCCTGTGTAACAAAGGATCAAAGGCTCTCCCTACAATCCCCACCCCTTCCGCCAGATCTCTGGTGGAGAGAGAGTGCCTTGGACTGGCCTCGAGCCAAGCACCTAAGGCACCAATTCACCTCAGCCTTTAATTAGTAACAGACCAAATCCTTCATACAGATAAGAGGTAACTGATAAGGATCTCAAAAGGACTACTTAAAATCCATAAGACTTTGTAACCCAGCTCTAGAGCCACTTGCTCAGGCCCACTCTCATCCTGTTCAGTGCTTTCTTGCTTTAATAAATTCCTGCTTTCACTGCTTTGTTCTTGTATTTCATTCCTTTATTGTGCATTTTGTCCAATCCTTTGTTCAAAATGCCAAGAACCTGTATAATTTACACTCAAGGCCTTCCTTCCAGTAACAGTACTACAAAGACGACTAGTACTAAAAAAATACAAAAAATTAGCTGGACATGATGGTGGGCACCTGTAATCCCAGCTACTCAGAAGGCTGAGGCAGGAGAAACACTTGAACCCAGAGGTGGGAGGCTGAAGTAAGCAGAGATGGTACCATTGCACTCCAGCCTGGGCAACAGAGCGAGACTCTGTCTCAAATATA